ATTGTTTCTGATGAGAGGTCTGCTGTTAGCTTCATGAGATATCTTTTGTAGGTAACTTGCCATTTTTCTCTTGCCAATCTTAGTATTTTGTCTTTGTCTGTGGTTTTGGTCAATCTGACTATAATGTGTCTTGGAGAAGATCTTCCTGGGTTGATTCTATTTGGGGTCCTTTTTATTTCTTGGGGCTGGATCTTTGAATGCCTCTCTAGGTTTGGAGAGTTTTCTTGCAGGATTTCATGGAATAGATTATCAATGCCCTTATGAGTCTCTTCGCCTTCTGGGATACCAATTATACGGATGTTTGGATATTTGATGGTATCTAATATTTCTTATGTATTCAATTTTCAGTATGCTCTAGTCTGCTTTTAATACTTTCAAGGGAGGTTTTGACTTCCTGTATTATAGTCTTCACCTTTAACAGGTCCATTTGATTCTTTTTTTATAGTGTGAATTTACTCTTTTAGTCTTGCATGAATTTCCTTACCTCCTGGAGCTTGTCAACTCCTTTCCCCTGCCTCTTCAGCAGTTGTCTCTCTTCTTTTTGATCTCTGTGAATTTTGTAATCATGAAAATTCTAAATTCTTTGTTTGACATTTCTATGAACTTCATCATACTGTCTGTGGATAAAGAGGAGTTATTATTTTTCTTTGGAGGAGAGATATTTTCTTGTTTCTCCATATTTCTTGTGACCCTGTGATGATTTCTAGTCATTTGATGGATAGTGCATTTCTTCCTAATTCTTGAAGTTCAAACTGAGCATTCAGAGGCATACAGAAGGAGGTGATCTGCAATCTCTCTTCCGTTCTGTTTTTACTCTTTTTTGCATCAGAAACAGTGAGAATAGAGGACTATTCTGACTGTATTGTATTCAGATGTTTAGATCTTGTTCACTTGGACTTGTCTAGACAGTTACTGTGTAGGAGCTGAAAAGCCCATGAGTAAAGATAAAGAAAAAGGAAAAGAATTAGAGAAAAGGAAAGAAGAAAATATAAAATAAAGGGAAGTAAGAAAAAAGATAATAAAAAACTTTACATTTTAATTTTAAAAAGCAAACATTGAAAACCACATGTACGCCATGTGAAAGCAATATTTCACAGTTGAAGTTCAGGATCCATGTGGGAATGGGCCTGGGATTTTGCCTTTCCTAAATAGAATGGGGAGAGGCACCTATTAGCACAATAAAGGGACTTGAGAGCCCAGAGAATACTTTACCTTAAACAAATTTTTTTAATTAAAAGACACAGAGAGACAGAGACAGAGAGAAATGGAGAGAAAAAGACAGGTAACACTACCCACTAGAAATGAGTGAGGGAGAGGTTTCAGCAGAAAAATCTTCCTCCTTTTTTTTTTTTGAGAGGTTTTCACTACAGGGCGCATGCACTCGCCAGACAGACAGAGAGAGACATAGAGATAGAAAGCGAGAAATCGCCCCCTAGGGGGGATGGTCACACTGCAATCCCTTCTCCTCCATTCTCCTCTTGGGATCTTGGGCATGCATGTACACGCGCCTGGTGTGAGTTCTAAGCCACCAGGTCCGGGACGCAAACCGTGGTCGACTACATGGGAGTCCAGCGACATAGCCATTACGCTAACTGGTGGCTCCCTTCCTTTTAAGTCTCTGAAAGCAATATTTCACAGCTGAAGTTCAGGATCCATGTGGGGATGGGCCTGGGTTTGTGCCTTTCTAAGAAATGAATAAGGGAGACATTTCAGCAGAAAATCTTCATTTTAAGTCTCTGAAAGCAATATTTCACAGCTGAAGTTCAAGATCTATGTGGGGCAAATCTGTGTAAATGAACATGCAAACGTCCTGGGAGAGGGGGGTGGTGGGACAACTGAGGGCTCTCTGAGGGCTCCCACCAAGGAAATACCCTTCTTTATGCTCCCAGGAAAACGCTTCTGTCTGGGCGAGAGCTTGGCCCGTTCTCAACTCTTCCTCTTCTTCACCACAATGCTGCAGAAATTCTCTCTGGGCTGCCCCAAGGCCCCAGAAGACATCGATATCACCCCCCGAATGAATGGGCTTGCGAAGATACCCCCTGTGTATCAGATCAGCTTTCTGCCACACTGAAAAATGGGAGAAGGAAGGCAGATCGTCCTGAGGTCCTTTCATTCGGCTCCCACCTCTGCACAAGTGAAATCTGTGATGACTTCCTGAGCTCCTCCCTGCTTCCTTTCTCTCATGGAAAGTCCCTTCTGTAGTCCCTCCTCCACCCAGCCTGCTGTAGTCCCTGTTATCCCCAGAAGGACTGTATATTTAGCTGAGGAAAAAACCTTAGAGTTTCGGGAACAAGACGTATGTAACTTCAGTAATTTAAAGTTACCACCACCCCTAGCAATTAGGGAAAATGAGACCAAATGAGGGAAGTGCTTACATCTGGGGTTACATGAGATAGCAAGAGAAGCAGGTTCTCTGCCTTCCTCCCTCCTCCCTGTGCACACCCACAGCCCTACCCTCTTTTCCTTACTGGAGTTGAAAGGATCAGTTCAGCTCTCAGCTCTGTGCTGTGTGGCTCCCAAATAGCTCTGGTACCTCTTTGATCTTTGTTCTCCCAAAGCACTGAGAACAAAATAAAATTCTACTATTTCTGGGCCAGTTTGTTATATGGTGCCTTGATTTTTTTTAGAGGTAAAATTTTCATAATATCAAATTATACAGTAATCATTTTAAAGTCTGGAGGAAAACAAGCAAGATAGCATAGAGAGACAGCTTTGTGCAGCCATCACCTCTACCAAGTTCCCAAATATTGTCATCACCCAGAAGGAAACCTGCTACCCTGTAAGAATTCAGTCTCTATTCTCCCCTCCTTCTGGTCCCTGGAAACCACTGCTATCCCTATGGATTTACCTATTCTGGAAGTTTCCTACAAATGAAGCACTTGAAATATAACTGGAATCATGTGATCACTATATCTGGCTTCTTTTGCTGCATAAACTCTTCAAGTCATAGCTGTATTGTGGCATGTATCAGTACATCATTCCTTTTTATGGTCTGATAATATTGTATCATATAGAATTATCACATTTAAAATTTTTTTCAGAGGACGTGTGCACTGGCCTAAGAGAGACAGAGAGGCAACAGGAGAGAGATGGAGAGGGAGAGAGCACCACCCTATGACCGTGGTCACACTACAGTCCCTTTTTCTCTTCTACATCCTGTTGGGATTTGAGGCACACAGGCCCATGCATCTGGCATGTTTTTCAAGCTGCCAGGTCCAGTACTTGAATCCCACACTCAGCCATGTGAGAGTCCAGTGATTCTTGGCTTCTCATATTTCTTGTGCCTCTGCAGTGGTTTCTGGTCATCTGATGGATTACACATCTTTTCCTAATTTTTAGAGTTAAATCTGAAGATTCAGAGGTATGCATGAGGAGGTGATCTGCAAATTCTAAGCAGTACCCTTTTTCTCCCTTTGTGCAGCAGATTCCGTGAAATAGGATTACTCAAGTCAATACAGATTACTAGAGGGCAGGAGGATGAAATCTGGGCAGAAAACCTTCAGTTGTCCTAGTCCCTGAAACGCGCCACTCAGAACTCAAATGCATATGGCTGGTGATTCCTAGGATACTTTTTTTTCCCCTGTTATTTTATTATATGTATGTATGTATGCATGTATTTAATTTTTTATACATTCAATCGAATTATTTAGCTTACAAAGTGAACATTTCAATATGTTAATATTTCTCCCCAGTCCAGTTGATCAAAATGTCTTCAAACAACTAACACCACACTTCCCCATCCCATCAATGCTCTGCCTCTGTATCCCTCCTCCAAATGTCCTTCATTAGGCCCCACTCCTCCACACACACCATATCCAGTATTCACACCCATCTCTTGTGTTTGTACAACCTTTAGTCAATCAGTTTCAGCCATAGAGTGCAGACATTCGGTATATATTAAGTGGGGACATAACAATGTCTCTCCTTCAAATCCTGGCTTGCCTCACTCAGCAGTAAATCTTCCATTTTCTTCCACTTTTTGTCAAAAGCCAGGGTTTTGTTTGTTTGTTTTGACTAAATAATATTCCATAGAGTATATGTGCCACAGTTTTACAATCCATTCATTTGTCTGGGGGCATTGGGGTTGGTTCCATGTCTTAGCAATTGTGAATAGTGCCACAATAAACATTGATGTGCAAGCACTTTTCCGATGAAGAATTCTTCTGTCCTTTGGGTAGATACCAAGGAGCGGGATTGCTGGATAATATGGTAATTCTATTTGTAGATTTTTGAGGAATGTCCAAATTGTTCTCCACAGTGGCTAGACCAATTTATATTCCCACCAGCAGTGTAAGAGAGTTCCCCTTTCACCACACCCCTG